TTTTTTGGTTGCAGCCATCATTGTTGTTTGGCGGGCCCGGGCTGGGGATTCGAACCTGCCACCTTAGGTGTATGTGGCTGGCACCTTAGCCTCTTGAGCCACAGGTACCAAGCCTAAAAACCACCCCTTAAGGTCCATGATCAATCTTCAGCAGAGGCATTCAGGCAAATAGCAGAGGTCTACGACATGATGAGTGGCCCTGTGAAGAGAAGCATCTATGACAGATTCAGTGATGAGGGCCTGAAGTATGGGATCCCTATGCAGTTTGGATCCCAGACCCCATAGATAACTGGTTAAATCTTTCATGGCAACCCTGAAAAGGTTTTCCATGAGTTTTTTGGGGGAGACAACCCCTTCAATGAGTTTTTTGATGAAGAAGGAAGTGAGACGGATTTAAACTTTGGGGGCCTCCAGGCCCGAGGAGTTAAGAAGCAGGACCCCGGCTTGGCATCTGTAGCTCAGCATCTAGAGCGCCGGCCACATGTGCTGGAGCTGGCAGGTTTGAACCCAGCCTGAGCCTGCCAAACAACAATGACAACTACAGCCAAAAAAAGAAAAGAAATAGCTGGGTGTTGTGGTAGGTGCCTGTAGTCCCAGCTACCTGGGAGGTTGAGGCAAGAGGATCACTTAAGCCTAAGAGTTTGAGGTTGCTGTGATGCCACAGCACTCTAGTGAGGGTAACATAGTGAGATTCTGTCTCAAAAAAAAAAAAAGAAAGAAAGAAAAGAAAGAAAAAGAAGAAGAAGGACAGGACGCCCTAGTTAAACAGGACCTTTACCTGGAGGACTTATTTTTTGGCTGCACACAAAAAATCAAGATCTCACGAAGGGTGCTGAATAAGGATGGCCACTCCTCCACCATCAAAGACAAGATTCTGACTATCAGTGTGAAGTCTGGTTAGAGGCAGGGCACATGCATCGCCTTTGAGAAGGAAGGGGACCAGGGCTCAACATCATCCCAGCTGACATCATCTTCATTGTGAAGGAGAAGCTGTACCCTCGCTCTGCAGGGAGGATAACCTCTTCTTTGTGTACCCCATCCCTCTGGGCAAGTAGGAACTTTCCCCAGGCTCTCACCTGCTGCACCATGGAGGTGAAGACCCTAGATGGCAGTCTGCTCAGCATCCCCATCAATGACATCATGTAGTGAGTCCATCTTCATTGGGCCCCACAAGCAATAATAGAGCTGGCCTGGGACACAGTGTGTGGTGTTAGACAGGTCTGCCCAGAAGAATTGTGCACGCTGCACCTAGCACACGGGAGCCCTGCTGAGGTGGGGAGAGAGGACTGAAACCCGGCTCACACTCTGGCCTGGCTGTGGGTTACATTCATCTGGCAAAAGGGATGCCGTCTAGTTTTCACCAGCTGCTGCAGGGGCTAGAGGCCCCCAGGGTTGGGTAATCCTTGTTGCTTCCATCCCCCAAACCGCTCATTAGAGCTTTGAGTTGCATCATCCCCTAAGTTCTTTTCCAAGAAAGGCCCTTTGCCCCATCCCCGGGTCTGGTTACCTTCCTTCTTCACCCTGTTTCCCATATCTAAAACAAGATTTCCAGAATCTTCATCAGAGATCAACATAAACAGGCTTTTCAGGGATCAGGCAGTTTGGAACAAGCCAGTCCATTCTCCCTCCCACCCAGCTCTGGATGGTAAGAGCCTTTCTAGGCGGAGGCTGTAGTGACTGTTTCCTTGCTGGGCCTATGTGAGCAGGGGCGCACGCAGGGGCCTGTTAAGGAACCACTCCGGGGTGTCTTCTAAGCTTCCTTCTCTTCCCTTCCTGTCTCATTCCCAAGTACTTCAAGAAGGTGCCAAGTGAGGGGATGCCGTTGCCTGAGGATTCCACCAAGAAAGGAGAACTCTTCATCTTCTTTGACATCCAGTTTCCCAACCACCTCACACCCCCAAGCAGCAGCTGCTGCACCAAGCATTGGTGACGTAACTGGTGGGCTAAGGGTTACAGCGGAGGTGGGGGGAGGCTGGCCAGGCCTTCCCTGGCCCCTCCAGCCTCAGGGTGTGCAGGGGAGCCAGCCTGCTGCACTGATGTGACATGAGCCTGAGCTGGCATGGGGCTTAAACTGACACAATAAAGACCAATTTCCCTTCAAAAAAATTAAATCAATTAAAATGCCTTGTTGCAAGTTCTGGATTTGTAGCTAGCAAATAGAATAGGAGAATTTGGAATTGGTAATCCCTGGAAAATAACAAGAAAAAACATTCAAGCATTTTAGGACATTAAAAGTGCAAAATTACCTCACACTCTGGAAATGATAGTGGTATTACTATGAGTACTTTTTCTGTGGATTTTCCAAATGAGCTAGTATCCCAATTAAAACACATTTAGATACTGTAAAAGTCTTTTTTTCTCCCCTTTCTCCTAAAGGACTTGTATATACTTACCTATATCTACAATCACCACCAACAAATAATTTCTCTGACCTAATGGCTTCCCCCAAAAGTCTCAATGTTGCCCTGAGTGACACCTTTTATCCGTCACCTTCGCAGAATAGCTGGATACTGAATAACTTTTGACTATTTACGAGTTTGCAGTAAGAACTATCTGAGGGCAAAAAAATACAACCCAGGCAAGCAGAATAAGGGGACAGAAGGTACAATGAGTGTTGAGGCTTTAGCCGGCTTTGGGGTGGTAAGTGTGGGAACACAGACGTCCGTGTGCGGCTCGGTGTCTGGTTTTAATTCTGCGGCAGCTTGCCTTTAGTTAAAAATAGATGCAATGGTCGCCGGTAAATCTCCCTGAGAGATTATGGTGACAAAATTCACCTAGAAAGAGGCAATACCAAGCCGTCTCAACACAATGTAGTTTCACTTTATCAGACTATTCAAACACTTGTATCTAGTCCTTAAGAACTTGGTAGTAACCAAACAACATTGAAAATTGACACCTTTTTACATTTTCACCCAGGGTTAGCAGCTCTTGCCTTACCACATCTTTAAGTTATTTGCGAAAGTGACAGACATTCTTGGATTGCTCTAATTACTCAGTCAAGGTCAGATCAACCCATAAAGGAAGTGGCAATTTTCAAATCACCAAAGGACAAAATATTAGCTGGAAAAGGAGCAGAACTTGGATGAGGTCCCAGCTCTCCGTCCTCAGCTACTTGATATTTTTCTCTCCATAACATCCGCTTATCTCCCGTACTCCCATATTGTTCTGTAACTAAGCGTTTGATAAGCCTGGGTTGGCAAGGTCTCTGGAACTCTGGGCCCTAGTGCTGCTATCATAGTATATACCTAATATAGCTATATACATAGTATAGCAGCGCTAGGCTATAACATACCCTTATAAGTGGCCTTCCTTTCTCCGATAAGTCTACCTTGTCATATCGTGTTCTGTGGATTTTCCTCCTTGGTAGAAGTTTCCAGTAGGCCTTAATAAACCACAAAATCAAGAGACTCACTTGCCTCTTTTGGTGCTTCCGTGGATCATTATGTAAAGTTTTGTCTATCGTAACTCCCATTTCATCCTCAGTAAAACTACCCAATTGGACAAAAAGCTTTCTCAGTGCAAGTCCAGCTTCAATATAGTCTCTCAATTCTCCATGGGGCTGGGGAGTAGGGTCTAGCATAGAGTGTAGATACTATGATTAATTTTACATGTCAACTTGACTTGGGAAGGGATGCCCAGATGACTAGTGAACCATTATTTCTAGGTGTGTCTGTGAGGGCATTTCTGGAAAAAAAAAAAGTTAACATTTTTATTGACAGACTGAGCAAAGAAAATTACCTTCCCAAAGCAGATAAACACAATGAATTCTGTGGAGGGTCTAAATTCTCTGTCTCTGCTTGAGCTGGAACATCCATCTTCTCCTGCCCACAGGCATTGGCACTCCTGGTTCTTGGGCCTTGAGATTTAGACTGGGGGTTTCCCAACAGTTCCTCTGGTTCTCAGGCCCTTGGCTCAGACTGAATTACAATCACCTATTTTCTTGGTTCTGCAGCTTGGAAATGGCAGATAATGGCACTTCTTGACCTCCATAATCATGTGGGCCAATTAAAGACCTAAGTTTAAAAGCTAAACTATAAGACTCTTAGAAGAAAGCGTGAGGGAGAAGTTTTACAATATTGGATTTGACAATGATCTCTTTGATACAACAACAAAGGCACAGGGAATACAAATGAATATTTTTCCTTGAAACTCTGACATACGCTACAATATTGTTGACCTCTGAGGACATTATGCTTAGTGAAATAATTTATTCACAAAAAGACTAATATTACATGATTCCACTTATATGAGAATACTCAGAGTGGTCAGAATCGGAGAGACAGATAGTAGAATGGTGATTGCCAGGAGCCGGGAGAAAAGGGAAATGGGGAGTTATTGTTTAGAAGAATCCTACCTTTGTAAGATAAAAAGAGTTCCAGAGCTGAATGGTACTGACAGTTGTACAACATTAAGAATGTATTTAATACCACTGAATTATATGCTAAAAAAAGATTAAGATAGTAAATTGCATGTTATGTATGTATTTTTTAATCCTGAAACCTTAGAAGAAATATGTCATGTATATTTTAACACCGTTTTAAAAATAGGGAGAAAAAAGGTGACCCTTAGGAGCATGCGTGAGATTAGATAGTGGCGTGGGAGAGAGGATTTCTTTTAATGTTAAATAGTATCCTATAGCATTAATTTCACAGTGAAAATGTAATCGTGTATTTCAAGAGTAACATGTTAAAAGTTACATGAATTTGACAAAGGACTAGTACCTAGAATACATAAAGAACTCTTCAAAATTCAACAGTAAAAACAATAACCAATTTGATTACAAAATGGGCAAAAGGCATAAACAGACATTTCACTGAAGGACGATATCCAAATGACAAATAACATACAAAAAGGTGTTCAATATCATTAGCCTTAGAAAAATAAAAATTAAAACCATAGTTAAATGTAACTACACACATGTGAGAACAGCTAAAATAAGGAACAGTGAAAACACCGATGTGGATGTGGAAAACGGATTCTATCCCTTGGTGGAAATATAAAATGCTACAACCGCACTGGAAAATATTTGCCAATTTCTTATAAAACTAAACCTTACGACCCAGCAATTGCACTCTTGGGCATTTAGTCCAAAGAAATGGAAATGGATTTTCCAATAAAGATACATATTTATAGCAGTTTTATTCATAATGGCCCCAAACTGGGTGGGTGAATAGTTGAACTGAGGTACATGCAGAGAGGGGAATAGTATTGATCAGGGTCCTCAGACTTTTTAAACAGGGGGCTGGACTGCAGGCCCTGGGATGAGTCAGCTGCTAAGCAGGACAGGCAGCGGTGGCAAAAACACCCAGTGGGCCCGATAAATGTCCTAGGCAGGCTGCATGTGGCCAGCGGGCCGTAGTTTGAGGATGCCTGGTACATGAAATAACTTGGATGACTCTCTAGATAATTATACTGAGTGAAAAAAGCCAACCTAAAAAAGGTTGCTTACTATGTGACTCTATTTTTTTTTTTTTTGAGACAGTCTCACTATGTTGCTCTCAGTAGAGTGCTATGGCGTCACAGCTCACAGCAACCTCAAACTCTTGGGCTTAAGTGATAACTCTTGCCTCAGCCTCTCAAGTACCTGGGACTACTGGCACATGCCATAATGCCAGGCTATTTTTTTGTTGTAATCGTCACTGTCATTTGGCAGGCCTGGACCAGATTCCACCCCGCCAGCCCTGGTGTATGTGGCCAGCACCATGAACTGCTGAGCTACAGAATGGAGCTGTGATTCTAGTTTTATAATGTTTTTGAAGAGGTAAGGTTTTAGAGATGGAGGCCAAATTAGTGGTTGCCAGGGGTTATGGATGGGGAGCAGAGGGAGGGAGCTGGGAGAGGTATAAGTTCTTGGGCTGAGGAAGCTCCCCTGAGCCCAGCTCAGCTCAGAGCACAGACTCTGGAACATCTGTAAGGGTTAGGGTCAGGGTCAGCCTAGGGAGCCCCAACCTCCCCTCCACTCTCAGAGCCTTTAGAGCACTGAGCTCTCTGCAACATCCTTCTCACTATATCCTTCATCCTTTCAAACACCCCTCAGAGAAGATGTGAAGAAAAATTCATTCAACAACTCCCATAGACAGTTGACATCCAGCAATCATCAGCATCTGGAAGGCAAGCATAGCTATAAAGAAAAAAAAGAAAAACTACTCTCTGCCTGATTATATCATAAGTACCACAAGAATTTCCCAAACAACCAAAGCAAATTCCTCAGCCTCTGCTATCAGCCAAACAGAGGAACAAAAGCTTTCTGACAGTTCATGCTTTCCCCTCACTGTTATTTATAAATTCCAGACATTTTCTTGATTGTTCTAGAGATTAGCAAAGTAGTTTCTTCCTCAATCTGAACTGTCCCCCTTTATCCAAAGTTGTTGACATTCAGATCTGGTCTGTAAGCTGCTGATAAGGATCTGTTAAGTGCTTTCCAAAAAGCCACGTGCTACTTGACCCCATACTCATCCCAAGTGCAGTTATTAAAACAGATGCTGTCCATTTACATGCAGAGATTGTTTGATTTTGTCCCTTCCTATGCTTAACCTCCGTGCTTTATTTGGAGAGGGGAAGGAAATAATTATTTTCTTTCATCTATTTTTGTTATTTGCAAATATAATCACTCCTGTAGGAAGGCATCTCTAGGAAGTCATTGCCAAGAGAAACAGGATTGAAAAGGCAAAGCATTGGGTTGGCGTCTGTGGCTCAATGGGTAGGGTGCCAGCCCCATATACTGAGGGTGGTGGGTTCGAAGCCATCCACGGCCAACTGCTACAAAAAAAAAAAAAAAGAAGAAAGAGAAAAGGCAAAGCACCGGCTGCCCAGCTTGCTTGTCCCTGTCCCAGCTGGGCTCGTGCTGTGGGATCCCAGGCGTGCTGCTGGCTTAGGCTTACACTGACTGGATTCTTACCTCTCTCCTCTGGATTAACTGTGATGACACAAATAGTGGGAGCTGCCCATAAAGCAGCTCCAGACCAACCCATGTGAGAAAGCAGCTGAGATGGTAGCACATTCCTATTTTACTTCCTTGTTGGAGCAAGGAAATCTAAACTTCCAGGTCAGATTTAAAATTCTAAAATCATTGTCTTACTACCTTTTATTTTTGTCCAATCATTAAACATTTTTTGGTGCATGGTGCTCTTTGGGAACAAGAATTACCGACCTGTGCCCTGGGAAAAGGATGCATGTGTTTACAGACATATCAAATTTTGCTTCACAATTTCTGGGAGCCATAGACCAGGCATCCTCAAACTAGGGCCCGCGGGCCACATGCGGCCGCCTAAGACATTTATCCGGCCCACCAGGTGTTTTTGCCGCTGCTGCCTGTCCTGCTTAGCAGCCGACTAGTCCCAGGACCCGCAGTCCAGTCCTCCAAAGGTCTGAGGGACAGTAAACTGGCCCCCTGTTTAAAAAGTTTGAGGACCCCTGCCATAGACCATTGAAGCTGCCTAAGGCAAACTAGAGATGGTACCAATGGATTAGATTAAAAATATTAGGTGATCAAGAGAAGGAAAGAATCAGGTAAATATGTAAAGCGAAGAAGTCTTGGGTGCTGCCTGAGGCTCAAAGGAGTAGGGCACTGGCCCCATGTACCAGAGGTAGTGGGTTCAAACCCAGCCCCTGCCAAAAACTGCAAAAAAATAAAAATAAAAAAAGAAGTCTCTGCCTTGTGCCCCAAATTCTTAGACATGACTAAAGAAGAAAAAAAAATTTTAAAGCTCTATATCTATGTTGGAACAGAAGAAGGAGTAGCTGAAGTATACCAGAGATTGAAAACATTCTGTAGGCTGGAAGACAGGAGGAGCCATGGCCCAAACTTATGTAATAAGGACTGCCGGAAAAGGTGCAGAGGCACCTGACATGCTCCAGGCCCTGGGTGGTAGGTGGTGGAGCAGGAGGAATCCGACCGGCAGGGGGATTGCCCAGGCATGGAGGGAGGAGGAGTCAAACTGGTCAGCTCCTTCCCTCCATTCTTTCCCATTCCCCTGGACCAGAAGCAAACAATAAAGATATCTGTCTGTTACCAGGTATGAGAAGACAGTAGGAACTTCTGTTAAATTCTTTTTTTTTTTTTCGAGACAGAGTCTCACTATATTGCCCTGGATAGAGTGCCCTGGCATCACAGCTCTCAGAAACCTCAAACTCCTCAAACTCCTAAGCTATTCTCTTGCCCCCGCCTCCCAAGTAGCTGGGACTACAGGCACCTGCCACAACGCCCGGCTACTTTTGTTGTTGTTGTTGTAGTTGTCATTGTTGTCTAGCTGGCCCAGGTTGAGTTTGAACCTGCCAGCCTTGGTGCATGTGGCCAGCGCTGTAACCACTGTGCTACGTGCGCCGAGCCAGACTGGGAGAACTTTTGGCTGCAGAGTCTGGATAGTACCAGGAAGCTGGTGACATCCAGGAAAGCACCCACACCTGG